CATAACCCTATAATTAATTATTTTTGACTCTTGCTCTCACTTACCCTACATAGCTAATCATCCACCAAATCTTGCTTTTCTACCTCCATGATATCTCTCACATCAGACCCCTTCTCTCTAATCACCTTGGTTCAGACTCTCATTACCTCTCACATAGATTATTGCAAGCCTTCTAATTGGTTTCTCTGCCTCTCAAGTCTCTCACCACACCAGTGCATCCTACATACTCTTGCCAAAGAGATTTTCTTTCTATCTAGATCTGTTCATATGAATCTTTTACTGTAGTGGTCAGCAGACTATGCATGCCTGTTGTATGGCCTGTGAGCTAAGAATGGTTTTTACATTTTCAAATAAAGTTTTGGTGTGGTTTTTTTTTTTTGGATTTAAAAATCTGAAAACTATTTGTATTCCTTGGGCCATACAAAACTAGACCACAGGCTAAATTTGACTCTTGGGCTGTCATCTGCCAACCCCTGCCCTATTCAATCAACTCTAGTGACTTCATATTATCTCCAGGATCAAATATAAACTTCTGTGATTAGCTTTAAAAACCCTATATAATCTTGCCCCAATCTGTCTTTCCAGCCTTATTATATATTATTCCCTCTCACAAAGTCTTCGAACCAATTACGCTGATCTTCTTTCTGTTCCTTATATGCAACACTCCATCCTCTCATCTTTGTACCTTTATACTGGCTCTCCGCCATGCCTGGAATGCACTCACTCCTCATTTCTACCTCGTAGAATCTCTATTTCCCTTCAAGATATAGCTCAAGCCCCACTTTCTATGTTAAGCTTTTGTCGAACCCCTCAACTATTAAATCTTCCTTCTCAAACTTTATATTTATTTGCATTTATTCTTTTTATATTTAGTCTATATGTATATACACAAAGATGGTCATATCTTTGATCTTGCCATTACTCACCATTGCACCACCTCCATGTTCAAGAACTCTGAAATTCTCTTTTCTAATCACAATCAGAGGCTTTCCACCTCTCCCTCTGCCTTCTCTTACCAAATCCCACTCGTCATCTATGCTATGATCTCCCATCCCTTAGCCCTTCAATTCTCTTCCAATTCTGTCTTCTCTTTTCTTCATTTTGATCCTTTGGTGAACCAGTTCAACTTCATGCTGTCCTCTCCTGAGTCCCTGACCCCTTTATATTTCCAATTGTACTCTGCCAGGCCTCAGCCTTGGATCACTCCCACCATTTACTGCCTTTGCTTCTACATATATGAAGCTGAACAAAGGTGGAGAAAGTCACACACCCATTCTAACTGGGCTCACTACAAATTTATGTTATACAGCCATAACTGGACAGCTATAACTGTAGTATTGCCTAGCAATACTACAGTTCTCTCATTCACTCTCCACAGTGGATCTTCCAAACATTTTCATCCTTCCTCAAACCTCCCATGGCTTCCACTATACCTTGCCTCATATTTTACTGAAAAAACTGATGCTGTCATTTACCAAGAGCTCCCTCTTCTCCCTTCCTTCTAGTCTCATATCACTCAGATGCCTTCTGCCACTATCTCCTCCCAATGTTTCACAAAAAGAGATGTCTGCACTTCTTGCCAAGGCAAAACTCTCTACCTGCTTCCTCTGTCATCCCCACTCTATTGCTTGTCTTCAATTTCTCACTTTCTACTATCTTTTTCTCTTCTGCCTGCAAATATGCCCATATCTTCTCCAGCCTCAAAAAACCCTCATTTAATTCTTCCATCCCTGCTAACTGTTATCTTATATCTCTTTTGCCTTTTGTGTCTAAAGTCCTTGAGAAAGCCATCTATAATAAATGTCTCCACTTTTTCTTCTCAGTCTTTTCTTAACTCCCTTGCACACCAACTTTTGACCTCATCATTCTGTCAAAACTGCTCTCTCCACCATTCCCAATGATCTCTTCATCGACAAATCCATGTCCTTTCTCAATCCTCATTCTTCTAAACCTGTAGCTATCTTTATTTTGATCATCCTCTACTCCTTGATACTTGGTTTTCAGGACACCACTCTGTCTTGGTTCTTCTCTTATGTATCAGATTGCTCCTTCTTTGTTTCCCTTGCTGGATTCTCATCCAAGTCATGCCCATTAATCAGTGGGGGCCCCTAGGGCTGTGTCTTGAGCTTTCTTCTCTTTTCCCTCTATACTGTTTCATTTGGTGAACTCATCAATTCCCATGGATTTAATTAGCATCTTTGTGATTATTTTCAAATTGACTTATCCAGTCCTAACCTTTCAGATGACCTCCAAGTTTGCATCTTCAACTGCCTTTAACACCTCAAACTCATTGTTTAGTAGATATCTTAAAGACGTGTCCAAAATGGAATTCATTATCTTTCCCCCTAAATCTTGCCCCTTTCCAAACTTCCCTATTACTGTTAAAGGCATTACCATTTTCACGATCCCCTAGTTTCACAACTAGGTGTTATCCTTGACTCCTAACTATCTCTTACCCTACCCCATATCTAATCCATTGATAGGGTCTGTCAAATTCACCTTTGCAACATTTCTTGAATATGCCCCCATCTCTCCTCTGATACCGCCATCACCCTGATGAAGCACTTCATCACCTTAAACCTTAAATTTCAATAATATGCAACTTAGTCTATTTGCCACAAGTCTCTACCTACTAAAGGCCATCCTACATTCAGCCACACAAGAGATTTTCCTAAAACACTGGTCTGACCATGTTTTACACATACTTAATAAAAATCTAGTGGCTCTCCATCACCTTCAAATACAAAATCCTCTGGCATTTAAAATCCTTCATAACCTAGCCCTCCTACCCCTTTATAGTATATATAATTTTACTTTTCTCTCATTATTTTATTTTTTTTAAAACTTTTATAGTATTTTATTTTCCTGCAGTTACATGTAAAAACTATTTTAAACATTTGATTTTAAAATTTTGAGTTCCAAATTCTCTGCCTTCCACTCTCCCTCCTGCCCCCCTCATTGAGAAAGCAAGCAATTTCATATGGTTTATATATATGTAGTCATACAAAACATTTTCTTATTAGTCATGTAGTAAAAGAAAATAGAGACCAAAAAAACCCTCAAGAAAAACATAGAAAGTAAAAAAAAATTATGGTTAAATCTGTATTCAGACATCATCAGTTCTTTCTCTGGGGATGGATAGCATTTTTCATTGTAAGTCCTTTAGAGTTGTCTTGGATCATTGTATTGCTGAGAATAGCTAAGTCATTCATGGCTGATCATCTTACAATATTGCTGTTATTTTGTACACAGTACATGTCATTATGCATCAACTCATGTAAGTCTTTCCAGTTTTCTCTGAGCTTCTGGCTCATCATTTCTTATGGCATGATAGTATTCCATCACAATCACTATTACAGCACAGTTTATTCAGCCATTCTCCAATTGATGGGCATCCCCTCAATTTCTAATTCTTTGCTGCCAGAAAAGAGCTGCTGTAAATATTTTTGTACATATAGGTCATTTTCTTTTCTTTTTTTTTAATCTCTTTTTGGATACAGACCTAGTAGTGGTATTGCTAGCTCCAAGGGTATGCAGGGTTTTATAGCCCTTTGGGCAAAGTTCTAAATTGCTCCACAAAATGGTTGAGTCAGTTCATAACTCCACCTCACATCCTCTCCAACATTTGTCATTTACCTTTTCTGTCCTATTAGCTAGTCTAATAGGTATGAGGTAGTACCTCAGAATTGTTTTAATTTACATTTCTCCAATCATTTGTGAGTTAGAACAGTTTTTCATATGGCTGTAGATAGCTTTGATTACTTCATCTGAAAACTGTTCATATCTTTTTATCTTTATCAATTGTGGAATGCCTCTTATTTTTATAAATTTGACTCAGTTCTCTATATGTTTGAGAAATGAGGCCTTTATCAGAGAAACTTGCTTCAAATTTTCTTTCATAGTTACTATTGCTAACTGTGTTTTCCTCCATCATATCCCCCTCATTTATTCCATTCTCTCTCTCCTTTCACCCTGTTCCTCCTCAAAAGTGTTTTGCTTCTGACTACTCATTCCCCCCTTTCCCTTTGCCCATTCTTCTATCATCCCCCTTCCCCTCCTACTTTCCTGTAGGATGGATCAATTTTTATACTCAGTTGAGTGTTTACGTTATTCCCTTTTTGAACCAATTCTGATGAGAGTAAGGTTCATTCACTCCCCTTCACCTCTCCCATCTTCCCCTTCACTGTGAAAGATTTTTCTTGCCTCTTTTATGTGAGATAATTTACCCTATTCTACCTCCCCCTTTCTCTTTCACCAAGGACATTCCTCTCTCACCCCTTAATTTTATTTTTTAAAATATCTCCCTTCATATTCAACCTACACCTGTGCCCTCTGTGTATATATACTTTTTCCAACTACCCTAATAATGAGAAATTTCTTATGAGTTACATGTATCACCTTTCCATGTAGGAATGTAAACAGTTTAACCTTATTAAGTCCCTTATGATTTCCCTTTCCTGGTTACCTTTTTATGCTTCTCTTGAGTCTTGTATTTGAAAGTCAAAATTTCTATTCAGCTCCGGTCTTTTCATCAAGAATGCTTGAAAGTTCTCTATTTCGTTGAATGTTTATTTTTCCCCTGAAGAATTGTACTCTGTTTTGTTGGGTAGGTGATTCTTGGTTGTAATCCTAGCTCCTTTGCCCTTCAGAATATCATATTCCAAGCTTTTAATGTTGAAGCTGCTAAATCTTGTGTTATTCTGACTGTGGCTCCACTATAATTGAATTGTTTCTTTCTGGCTGCCTGCAATATTTTCTCCTTCACTTGAGAGCTCTGGAATTTGACTATAATATTCTTGGGAGTTTTCATTTTGGGATCTCTTTTAGGAGGTGATTGGTGGATTCTTTGAATTTCTATTTTACCCTCTGGTTCAAGAATATCAGGGCAGTTTTCCTTGACAATTTCTTGCAAGATGGTGTCTAGGATTTTTTTTTAGGCTCTTTATTTTGGATCATGGCTTTCAGATAGTCTAATAATTTTAAAATTATCTCTTCTGAATAAAAATATGGAATGCTTCATGAATTTGCATGCCATCCTTGCATAGGGGCCAGGCTAATATTCTCTGTATCATTTCAACTTTAGTATATATGCTGTTGAAATCAGCACTACAGTCTTTTTTACACCTTACACCACCTCCCTGCACTCCCTCCTTGCTGCCGTGTCCTTCATGAACCACACACACACACACACACACACATACCACATACTCTTTGATCCAGTGACAGTGGCCCCATTACTGTTCCATGAATAAAACATACCATCTCTTATCTCTAGACATTTTTTTCTAGCTGTCCTTTTTGCTTAGAGTGCTCTCTCCTCATCCCTACCTTCTGGCTTCCTTGGCTGCCTTCAAATCCCAGCTAAAATCCCATCTTCTACAGGAACTTTCCCATTCTTTCTTAATTCTAATGCCTTCCCTTGTTGATTATTTCCCATTTATATATATATATATAATATATATATAAGTATATGTATAGCTTGTTTGTAAATATTTCTTTGCTTATCTCCTTCATTAGATTATGAGCTCTTAAGGGTGGGAATGGTCCATGGCTTTTCTTTAAATTATAGAATTTAGCACAGTGCCTGGTACATAGTAGGCACTTAATAAATGCTGACTATTTTGCTCATTATATATGTCCTTGTTGTCTTTCTCATTAGAATGCAAACTTTGTAAGTTGGGATTATCTCCTTCTATTGGTATCTTCAGTGCCTAGCACAGTGTCTGGCACATAGTAGGTGCTTAGTAAATAGTTGCTGACTCATTTTCTTCTCTCTTAAAAATCCCAAGTTCCAATATTCATTTTTCATATGATATAGTTTTGGGTTCTTCACGTCCTTGCTCATCCTCTTTAGGATGTGACCCATTTTATGCATGTCTTAAAATATGGTATCAGAATTATGCACAATATATCAGTTGTGATTTGAAAAGCACAAGACAGAGTGGTTCCTCCATATCTATTTTTTCTCTGAACCATTTTTAGTGGTGTATATCAAAGAACAAATTTCATACTTTGCCAAAAGAAAATCTGATTATTTATTGGCAGTCTGTGTAAAAGATTTGATTGTAGCTGTCTTTTAAAAAGTTTGATCTTTGCCCTGTTCCTACTACGTGTAAGTATACAGCACAGATTGGAGTGGGAAGACACTTGAGGCAGGGAACTCATCTAGAAGATATGAGAATAAATCCTGCAAGAGGTGATAAGAGCTTGCACCTAAGTGGTGGCTATGTCAGTGGAGAGAAGGGGACGTATATGAGAGATGTTGTGGAGGTGGAAATGAAGGGACTTGGCAGAAGATTGGATGTAATGAAGAAGTGTGAGAGAAGAGGATAATACTGAGGTAGCAATCCTGTTTGACTAGGAGGATGGTTTTGACCTCAATATTAATAAGTAAGTTGGGAAGGAGAAGAGTTTGGGGAAAAGATGAGTTCTGTTGCATACATGTTGAATTTGAGATACTTATGGGACATCCAGTTGGAGGTGTCCAAAAGGAATGTGACCAGAGCTCAGGAGGGAGAGTAGGGCTGGATATAATAATATGAACTGAGAAAATTTTTGGCTATTAGATTTGGCAATTGAAGACTTTGGAGAGAGCAGTTTCAATTAAGTGATAAGGTCAGAAGCCAGATTACAAAAAGTTTAGAAAAGAGTGAGAGGGGAGGAAGTAGAAGCAGTAGTTTAGACAGCTTTCTCTTTGAGTTTAGCTGAGAAGGTGAGAAGAGATATGGGACAATAATTAGCAGGAATAGTAGGCTCATGTGAGGTTTTTTTTTTTTGGTTTTGTTTTTTGTTTTTTGTTTTTGCTAGGGGAGAGAGAGGATTCTGGGAAGAAGATGGAGTAGGTCAGAAAATTCCAAACTCTCAAGATTTTACCCCACAAAAGAGATGAAATAGAGCCTCAGGGAGAATATGGAGTAGTAAAAAATAAATAAGAGTAGGAGCAGAGCAAGAATCCTCTTGGAACAATTGAAGAAGATCTAAAGAAAAGTCCCAGGAGGAGGTTTGGTGCCTGTGAAGAGTAAACACCTCCAGGCTAGTTCCTAGGTCCACTTAAACAACTAGTGGCAAGCCCTGGGTTAGTTGAGTTAGGAGGCTTCCTTGGCCCTAGCTGCGGAAACTTTTACCCCTGGGGACAGTGACAGGTGTTGGGTGTCTGAGCCAGGGATGATCGAGGGAACCTCTGCTGACAAAGAATGCCAGACTCAGCTGTGCTGTGGAGACAGGGCTGGGGGTGAGAAGGAACCAGCACACACCACGTGAGTGCAGAAGCAGTGGGGTGGAAATGCTTCTGGCTGTGGACACTTGCAGGAGGCTGGAGGTCTTGGTTCCAGTTCCAGGGAAGAGGGGAGGACTGAGGAAAGATCTGAGGCCATAGCCACTAAGCCCCACACCCAGGACTAGAGGTGATTATAAAACTAAGCTACTACACATAAAAAAAAATGCACAGTCAAAAGAGAAAGAATCCAACCATAGAGAGTTACTATGGCAATGGAAAAGATAGGGATTCATCTTCAGAGGATACTGAAGCAAAGAAACCCTCTTCTACCCCAAAGAGTAACATCAAATGGTCACTTGCTCAAAAAGAATTCATAGAACTTTATAAAGACTTTAAAAATCAAAAGAGAGAGACTGAGGAAAAGCTAAAAAAAAAAAAACAATCCAAGAAAAAAGAAAAACAAGAAGATTATGAAAAGAAAGTCAACCAATTAGAAAAGGAGATCCAGAATCTTAAGAAAACAACTCCTTGAAAATCAGAATTTGGCAAGGGGAAGCCAACAAAATTATAAGAGATCAAGAAATAATGAAACAAAATATAAATAAAGGAAAAATAGAAGAGAATGTGAAACATCTCATTAGAGAAACAACTGATCTGGAGGTCTATCTTCTATCTATCTTCTATCAAGAAGAGAAAACACAAGAATAATCAGACTAACTCAAAACTATGATCAGAAGAAGAATCTTGATACAATAATAGAAGAAATAATTAAAGAAAATTGTCCTGAAGCTTTAGAACAAGAGGGGAAAGTAGAGATAGAAAAATCCACGAAACACCACCTGAAAAAGATCCTATGAGGAAAACTCATAGGAATATTATAATCAAATTCCAAAACCCCCAGCTCAAGGATAAAATATTATGAGCAACAAGAAAAAAAAAGCAATTTAAATGTGACGGTGCCACAATTAGAATCACACAAGACTTAGCACTGTGCCAAGCACAATGCTTACTACAAGACTGCAGGTCTTGGAATACTATATATTGAAGAGCAAAAGAACTGGGGTTCTGGCCAAAAATACCATACCCAGCAAAGCTAAGCATAATCCTGAATGAAAAAAAAATGGACACTTAATGAACTGTCAGACTTTTAGGACTTTGTTGAAAAAAGCAAACCTGAACTTAATAGAAGATTTGACATACAAGAGCCAAGAGAAATATAAGGTACATACTAGAGACTAATTACAAGGGACTTAATAAGGACAGACTGTTTACCCTTTATGTATGTAAAATGTAAAATGTATATCTAAGATTGCTATTAGTAATTGGATAGTTTATAAGAAAGATTGGAGTAGACCTGAGTATGATATGACTTTAAAAAGTAAAACAATTTAGGAACAGCTAAAAAAGAGTAATTATTTTATACAAATGATGTGTGAGAAGAAGAACTGACACAGAGAAATTAGATGGGGGAGGGTGGTTGGTAATTCTGGAAGCCTACTTTTATTGGGAATGAGTTGAGGAGCGAACAAATACATATATATCTGGAAGTGTATAAAATTCTTCTAAATTCAAAAAGAAATAAAACACTAAAGAGATAAGGAGAGGGGAGAGGATGAGGGCGGGATCTCTAGGGGGAGAGTGAAGGAATAGGTTAAAGGGGGGGTATAGAAGGGTGTTTAGATTTACTGGAATGGGAGGATAAGAGAGGGATCCTTGTGGGGGGTACTAATAGTAAAAGTAACAAGTAATAGGAGGGCAAGGTAGCAGGTAGAAGTAAAGTAGAGGAGTTAGGAGGGACAGGAAATAAGAAATATGCACAAACAAAAACAAAGATGAGAAATGGATTTTGTTAGAGAAAGTATATGTCTATATATGTATGTGTATACATGTATATCTATATATCTCTATATAAGTATACATGTATATGTGTATCTATATATCTCTATGTAAATATATCCATACTTAATTATAGCCATTGGGGGTGGGGTGGGGAGAAAGGGGGAAAAAGGAACAAAGCAAAAAGTGCACAGCAGAGAATGAAAGAAAACTCATAAGAAAGCAAAGAAAAGATGAACAACTCTCAACACAATGGGTAGAATTTTTTATTTAGGCTTTCTTGAAATGGAAATTTATCTCTGTATATTTTGAATTGTCTCTTATGTTCTGCTGTTCACATGATAATTTTTTTCTTTTCTTATTTTGTATTTAAGTTTCAATATTTAAGTTTGTAATATGTTTCCTTTTCATTCCAATTTCAGTAAGAAAAAAAAAACAAAAAAATTTTAAAAAGAAGAAAAAAAGGGGAGATCTGGGTCTATTTTACTTGTAGGCAGCAGGGAAGGAACCAAGAGATAGGGAGAAATTGAAAATTAGAGAGTGAAAATGATAGAGTGGCCAATGTGCTGAAGAAGATGGGAAGGTATGGTATCCAGAATGCATGTAGCGGGGTTTGCCTTGGTGAAGAAAAGGGCTGTCTTCTTGTCTGGGACTAGTGTGAATGAAGACATAGTGGGGAAAGATATCTAAGTGACAGGAGATGAAGATAAGGGGAGAATGGTGAGTGGCCTCAGTTTTTTAGTAGAGAATGAAATGAGATCCTCATCTGAGAATGTGGTGAGAAGGTGGTGCCATGGGAAGTTTGAGGGGGAATTGAAAAAGGTTGGGAAAAACATGATGGTGAGTGGGAGAGTAAAATAATAAGAAGATGTGAAACAATTGCTCTGATACAATGAAGGCCCATTTGAGATAATGTAACAAATTTTTAATGAACGCACCTAACAAAGTTTCATGCATTTATCCACATTCATTCTTCAGCATTTGAATAGGAACAAAAGTAGCAGATAGGCATCTAATTGCTGGGCCTGAAGTCAGGAAAATGAGTCTTTCTGAGT